TTTTTTTGGGGGGGTGGGGGGGGGGCGTGTATAAGGTTCATATTTTTCCAATTGTATCCTTGCCATCATATAGTCAACAATGACAGGTAGACCACAACATTAATGAGCTTCGAGTTCAAGAAGAGTTTTTTGGGAAATTTTGATTCTTGGTTGAGTATTGGCTGTTCCTTCATAATTGGACTACATACCTTGAAAAGGACATTTAAAACATACTTGAAAGGCAAGCATATTGGTTTTTTTTTTCCCTTTTTCTGAGTGCAGCTGGAGGTGAGGCCACTCATGGCAAAACACTTTTTAATCAATACTAAAGGCAATTCATATCCAATCATCAACAAACTTCAGACTAATTACCCTCTGATGTTGAATATATCATTTGTGGGAGCACAAGATGATCCCATTTTAGCACTACAAGCACATAACGTGACAAGATTTGCAGATACAATTTCCAGAATCCAATTCTTCTCAAGCCCCAAACAGAGCCAAGAATCAACTTAATTTCAAATCAACTTAATTTCAAATCTTTTTCATTTGTTTTTTGCTTTGAACTAAATTTCAAATCAGAAATAAAAAAGCATTCCAAATTTAGCTAGCAAAGAATAAATGGGTTGTCCCATTTTCAGTTTCTACTTATCAACAAACTCTCTAATCTCTATCCTCTCATGTTGAAAGCACAATACTGACAGAATTCAAGATACCATCTCTTGTTACCAGCACAGCGTGCTCACATTCTTGTGCAGCAAGCACAAGACTTCATTTCCAGAGTTTATCTTTGAAATAACCCAATTAACAGTAAAACTCATACCCCATAAATCACAAGAAATTTTGAAAATTTTTTTCCTCAAAGAAAGAAACTTTTTCCAGGCCAACTCAATCCAAATCAAAATCACAACTAGGGCGTACCCAGCTCCTTCCATTGGAGAGTCTGGGGAGGGTTAGATGTACCCAGCTTGAAGAGTGACCGTTTCCCCGACTCGAACAACTCACGGTGGAGCAAGTTTTCACAAATTAAATCACAACTACAAATTCAATTGGGCCAAGAAAGATAATTTTTCGTTTATCTACGAACCTGAATTGGATTAGGGCCGTACTTGAACATAACACCACGAAACTGATTCTTCCGATTAATCGGACCAACGCTATCACCACCACCACTACCCGAATTATTAGTCATTTTGGCGCTGCTAGACTTATCGAAACGGCCTCGAACAATGCCGGAAAACCAAGAAGTGGTTGAAGACGAAGATGATGATGAGAGAGAAGACGAAGTTGATGTTGAGAGATTCATATCAGAAGCTCTGATTTCAATGGACTGTCCATTATCATAGGGTTTGCCGTCTAGGGTTTTGCTTATGAGCTAGAGATTGAGATTGAAATTGAGATCGAGATTTACTATGAATCGTTCAAAAGAACTGTGAAGAGTGAAAGAGAAAGACAACTGCTCTGTAAAGGCGGTCCCACTTGGTCTGTTCAAACGAGAGAAGCGAGGCTGTCCGGCTCTGTTTCTGTTTGTTTAATAGGATAACGTATGGGTGTCGGGCTAGCCCCGCTAAATTTTGTTGGGCCGGGCATAAGAAATATAGATCTAATTAGACTTATTTGATAAAAAGTACATAGAACAAAATGTGAGTTATAAAGACATAAATGTCTATTTTAGGATCATTTAATTCAAAATCTCTTATCTTTAATGCACCTTAATTCACGTGTGTTTATTAATACATATAAATACGTATTTAATAAATCTTGATTCATGTATATTTGTTAATACATGTTATATATATATATATATATATATATATATACACACACACATATACGTATAAACAAGTATATATACATATACGTATAAACAAATATATATATATACTAATATATATATCCACTTGTTAAATTTTTTATTTAAATTTTGAATTATCTTTAATGCACCTTGATTATGCGTTTTTTTTTAGAAAGTGATTTTGTTTTTAAATTCTATTTAATGCACCTTGATTCAAGAGTTTTTTTTTTTTTTTTGGGGAAAATAATTTTATTTTCATATTAATTTAATATCCGAATAATGTAATAGTGTAACAGTATAACAAATACACTGTAACAAAAACAGTGTTCAGTAATTTTGTGTATGTGGTAACAAATTCAAAACAAAGATGTACTATTTTGAATGAAACTATATGTTTGACAAAATATAATAGTACAATATTTTGTGTAAATAACTTGTTACACTGTTATTGTTATAATGTTACACTTTTATTGTTACATTGTTATCTTGTTACACTTTTATTGTTGCACTGTTATACTATTTGAATATTAAATTAATTTGAAAATAAAATCACTTTCTAAAAAAAAATGCATGAATCAAGGTGCATTAAAAAATAATTCAAAATTTAGATAAGAGATTTAACAACATATATATAACGCATGAATCAATGTGCATTAAAATATAATTTATATACATATACGTTTTTATATACAAATTTTAAAATTCCAACAAGTATATATATATATATAAATTTGAAATTCAAATAAGCAATTAAATCTAATTTGGTGTACTTCATTCTAATTTTTTCTTATTTAATTGATTACCGAATTATCGAACGAATCGGGTTGACTTTCAGATAGACTATTCACAGTCCAATTCGTGAACTTATTGGACGGCCTACTCGCGGTAATCACTTAGGAGACTTATAATGTATAACGAAAATAATATTTTATTTACAACATCTAAATTTTTAAAATTTCAAATTCTGACATTATGGAGTTGTTTTAAAGTTTTAAATTTAATTGTTTAAAAGTATAATTTTTTTTTATAGAAAGGGTGGGAGGCGTGGGTTTTTGGGTCGGATTTTTTCGAGCAGACTATTGAGTCAAGTAATGGGTTTGGGGGCAAACTCAAATTCTCTTTTTAAGGATATTCAGTTCGGATGTGCCTATCGAGTTTCACACCTATTTTTTTTTTGTCGGATAACGAGACTTGTGAGTAACCGGACTCATGGACACCCCTAGGATAATGGTAGAATATTTAATTTTTTTATTTTTAAAAAATACAAAAAAAATTTAAAAAACAATTGTGATCTATAATTTAATTTTTTTATTTTATCGTTATTTTTCTTAAAATATTTAATTAGTTATTAATTTTAAAAACACTTGGTATAACATATTCCGAAGATCTGAGTTCGGGTCTATCTTTATTCTAGAGTTATGTTATAAGTCATTTTAAAAAAAAATAAAAATTAAGTGTTAGTTATGAGACATATTTTTTCTTTTTAAGACCGATTTAATATTGATAGTTCTCGGAATTTATGGCCCAAAGCCCACCTATAATGGGATGGTGTTCTGAAGTGGTTTTGCAAATTATGAATTAATCTTTAATGATCAATTAGACTGAGACTATAAGTGGTTCACCTTAGCTGAAAAACTAAGACTAAATCCACTATTAACGAAGTCTCTTGCTCACTGGGTTTGTATATTTATCGGCCAGTGAAGTGCCTCCTGTAACTCGGGACTCAGAGTCCACTTACAAATAATGAGTATTTAGGTATTCTCTCTCAGCTTTCTATGCTCTTAGGCTCTTAAATGTTCTCTGATCTTTTTTGAGGAAGATAGAGTTCTCTTTTTCTAGGTTATCGTTTTCTACTTATATTAGTCCCTCTTAGGGCTTTCAGCCATCCTTTCCTCTGCCCCCTTCCTGCTTCTTCTGCCACCACGATCATTGTTCATCCAGCGCTGTCGTCGCCACGATCTCTGAAGGTCTGGTGCTCCACCTTCTCTGAAATTGCCGTAAGTGTCAGGAGTGGTCCCCCTGGATCTCTAGGATGCGTGGTCCCCTCTGGTGATCCAAAAATAGCTTGAACCGAGCTTTCATTCTCCAAACCGCTTTATGGTTTGGACTGGATCTGGACTGTTGGGTTATTGACTTTTTGCCAACGCTAAGTCCTCATTCTCTGTTCCGACCCTCTTGGGCTGGTCAGGCTTTTGGGCCATCAAAGCCCTGGCCTTGAGTTTGTCCGTATCAAATATAATTAAAAATAATTTAGACAGTGATAAATTTTTTTTGTAATTTTTCTTTCTTTTAAACAATATAATGACATCTTTTTAAAATTTTCTTACAAGTTTTTCATGATAATCAAACACATGTATATATTTTTTATTTTATTTTACTTTTTATCATTCTTTTTTTCTTGGACATATTAGGGTTAATTACATTCCCCCCCCCCAAAAAAAATATTTTATTAGACAAAATAGAGGAGTATTGTGTACCTCCTCAATGGAGTATTGTGTAACTCCTCAATGGTTAACTTTGCTAAAATGTGGTAGAGGCCTAGTGTAAATATGGGCCTTCTGTTGCAAGTGTAAAATGGGCCTTCTCGTAGGTATGGGCCTGCTATATGTCTAGCCCAACACCAAAAGCCTAGTCCATAACTAGAATGACGTAGATTGCAGAAACAGTCCAGAGACTTGACACAGCATAGTAGCAAAATAATTGGTGAAGATAGCCATATATATCAGTTCAAAATAAAAAAAAATCACTCAGAATCAGAATAGTGGAGAGAGTTTCTGAATTTGGAGAAAATATTCAATGCTACGGTGATGCCATGTCTACATTACCAACTAATAATGTGTAAATAAGTAAGAAAATAGATCTCACACAAATCAATAACTACTTGTTTATGTAAATCAATAACTACTGACGTCCAATTAATAACATCTACTATCTCAAGACAAACCAAATTGGCTCCAAGGTTATACGATTTTTTATGGCCCATAACTGTTGCAATCAGTCAATTACTAGGCTCAATCCAATTAATCATCTGCAAATCATACACATCAAACCAATGAGGATGTCTAAGATTCGGACTTGGGATCTTGGAATATTAATTACTAAAGTGTTGCCATATTTTTTGGAGTTTTCCCCCACCTATACTTTACTAATCTATGTCTATATCTATATACCACTTAAAAAGTAAGGATTTATGAAAAACATTTATATTTAGTTTTTACCCTTAACTATTGGTATAAAGTTAATCATATCCACTATGTCTTTTGATATTTCCTTAGCATCAAATTGATTTGCATATGATTAATCGGATTATTGATGAGGTGATAGTGGTTTTATGTGCTTTTATTTGCAGATGCATTTGACTTTTATAACTTTTTGTTTGCAAGTTTTGGATTTTGATTTCGAGAAATTTTGTTCTAATTTTTTTTCGAATTTGAATATTTATGCATGTTTGGTCTGTGGGAAGTATTACCAAAGAAGAGGCTAGAAATCTCATGCATACACTCATAGCCTTGAAGTAGGACACCATGTTTACACAATCTTCGAACAGAGAAAGTTTATTGTCTTCCTGATGGATATGAAATCATTAACTTTTCATTAGATGACATTCGACATGTTCTTCACTCGAGGTTAGCTAATATTTAGTTTTAATTGTTTTTTACGTGTAGCAAGTTTTTTTATCCCTTTTATATATTTGCTAATAGTTTATATTCCTATTTTGATTAATTTCCTCCTTCTATTTTTTTGACATTATTGTATATGTTTACTCGGACGTAAGTTCAACAACTTGATAAAAATAGGCAATGGTCTAGGGCACTTAATGGTTCTGATATTTGTTGTTATTATTATGACATTTCATTCTTGTTGCTCATTGGTATATTTTAGACAATTTTGAATATAAACTTAGACAATCAAGTCTCCAATTTCACCATTCTCTGGTGTTAATTATAATCTCATGGCTCCAACAATTTTTTTAGGTGGGACTCAATAACATTAGAAAGATAGACTTTGTGAATGTTACAATTCAATCTTTAATGCGAGTTACTCCATTGAGGAACTTTTTCCTTATTCTTAAAAATTATCTACACTAATCCTTCGATTTGGAGAGCTTACTCGAAAGAATTGGCATTCAAGAAACTTCAAGGGACAAGTTTGTTCCTGGTGTAATCAAACTTTAGCAATGCTTTTTGTTTATAGAATGCGTATACTTAACATTTTTTGTGTCTCCAGGCGAGTCCACATGAGTTTTTACAAGCTGTTATGGACTACATACAATTTTGAAATCTTTATATTTTTTTCTTCTGAGCGTATAATCAAATGGGGCTGACATTGATTTGTGTTTAAAAGTATATGTAGTGTCTACATCAATTAGGTTTATGAATGTATTATCTTTCTTTATTTCCTTGGCCAGATATTCCATACGACTGACAAGGAATACAATAAAACAATAATCCAGATCGTCACTTTTGAGTAATGGAAGCTTGCGATATCCCATTATTTGGTGAGGTACATCACATAATAACAGAAAATTGAAATAGTGGGTCAATTACAGGCTAGAAAGCATGTATACTTCTTAAGAGTATCATGGCAGTGTTGGACATAACCAGACATGTGTCCAATATAGTTAGAAGTGTCATGAATAATGAGTTCAGTCGAACACAATCAATCTTTTTTTTAAAAGATTGTAACTTG